CTCACAGGGATTACTTTTACAGACACTGATCTGCAAATTCACAATTCTGTGTGTGTTCTTTCTGTCTAAAATGACATTTTAAAGTTGTGCATGTTGTTTCTCTCTCCAGCAGAGACTCTGCCCCATGAAGAGAACGGCTTAATAAAGGAGCAGCGCTACATGGACTCCGCCTCCAACTCCATGACCCCGCGACCCCAGACTATGCGGAGTTTCTTGGAGTACCACTCCCAGGCCAGCAGCCTCTACCATCACAGCAGCAGCACACCGATGCGCCGCCTTTCGTCTAACCCTGCAGAAATGAGCTCCACACAACCCCTCAGAAGAGTCGAAGGTAGAGAGAGAGCTTGTGTGTGTCAGATACACCTGTGTTTTCAAAAGACTTTTAAATAACACAATATAAAAGGTGCTCTGCTGCAAATCTACATAAATCATAAATGAATCATGTACTTATAAAGTTGTAATCAGCTGTTCTCCAATGGTTCAGACATGAACTTCACCATAGTGGCGAGCAGTGCGTGATGGGTAGTCCCCACTGATGAAGTTAAAGTCAGATCCTAAGTGATCCATGTGTTAATGAAGTTACTATACCAAATGAGTAAATAGGGGAAACTATCACAGCCAAAACAGGCATGAAAATAAAACATGCTTATTTTTGTTTCTCTCACTTTGACCTCCAAATAGTTTGTTTTGGGGTTTTTTTTGTTGTTGTTGTTGTTGTTGTTGTTGTTTCACATTAGCAGACTGTGAGCTGTTGTACGAGGTTGAAGCTCCAGCTGTGCATGACCCCAGCATGTTTTAGCCAACATAATAAACACAACAACTTGTTACCAACGGTTCATCAGCTAGGAGGCTCAGAGGATTTGATTCTTATTATGGTCATTTGTGCATCACTAGCAATACCACATTAAAGGTTTTTCTTTTGATGAATGGAGCCTGATCAGCAGTTTGTGGATAGCTTATTTAATATTTGTGAGTTACAAATAAACAACAGTAGCTACAGATTAAAACTGCCGCTGTCTTGGATCGTTGTGTCAGTGGGGCAGCTCCAGCTTTCTGAGATGGAAATCAGACATGAGAGTTCTAGATGAACGTAACCTGCCAGTCACTCTGTAATTTGCTACTGGAGTTTGAACATGAGAAGAAATTAATTCCATTTCAATGTTTTGTGCAGCTGCCAGCTCCACCACAGGTCCCGAGGCTCTGGCGTCTGAGAGGGAGAGTCTGCAGTTCCCCAGCAAAAACCCCTCCTCCTGGTCCATCGAAGAGGTGATGCAGTTCGTCAGGGATGCCGACCCCACAGCTTTGGCACCTCACGCTGAGCTCTTCAGGAAACATGTAAGTTAATGAAAAATTAATCCGATTTTCATGGTTTGTATTCATTTTTACTCTGGAGCTCGTTTGTGGAGAACCATCTTGAAAGGAAGTCTGTAATTTCATTGCTTTTTCTCCTTCTTCTCCAGTTTCATTCAATCGCACATCTTCAACTACCCACAGATGGCGGCAATAAGCCCGTTTTCTATCGTCTGTGATCTAAATCTGAAAGGAAACTTTGCAAACACTCTATTTAAGGCAGCTCAGGCTAAGATGATAAAGATGGCCTTAATTTAACAAGATCTAGAATAAGCCTCGAGGTCTCCATCGTTTCACCTGTGAAAAGATGGTCATGGTTATGTTCAGTTATGAACCTCATTTTACTCCAGCTGTTACAGCAATCTGATAAAGTGAAAGGTTTGGGCACACTCTCCTATTCATTTATTAAAACCTTTGACAGATATTGTGTCTGATTGTGAAGGCAGTGTCACCTGGGTCTTTATCTAACACACTGTGCACCCAGCAAACTTTCTGGGTTGGAGGCAGAGCAGCGAGATGCACTTTCAGCATAAAAACCCCACAACTGGGGCCTAACTCACTGCTGAAGACCCCCAAAATATTTGTTTTCAATTGGAATTATATATATATATATTTTTTAAATTACTGCATGGTTATTTAAGCTAATGACAGTGTTTCTGTTTTTCTAATACAAGTCCCCGTGTCTGTTTTCACAGGAGATTGATGGCAAAGCTCTGATGCTCTTGCGGAGCGACATGATCATGAAGTACATGGGTCTGAAACTGGGGCCCGCACTGAAGCTCTGCCATCACATAGAGAGGCTGAAACAAGGCAAACTGTAACTACGAGATCCCGGCAGAACCCACGAGCAATAAGCCCCGAGAGAGCCGGCGTTTGCATACTGACTCATGGGGCACACAGGGGTTACATGTTACTCCAGACTCCACCTGGAGGGAGCGGATAGATGTTACAACGTCATCCCGACTTTGCGAGTGGAGAAAGTGTGCCGTGCATTGCTGACACATTACCTCATCCCCTCATCAGTGAACAAAAAGCTGTTCGGCTCTCATAGACATGCTGACTCTGAAATCCCAAAGGAAAATAATCCCCGTAGTGTTTACATTGCACATGTGCGCACATTTTCTGTCTTTTTTTTTTTTTTTTTTAAATGGAGGAGAAATCTTTTGATCCTGGTTTTGGATCCCCCAAAGATGGTGAATGTTTCTTCTTATATCAATTGTTATTGTTAAATCGATAAGGAAGGGTTGGTATACCGAGAAAAAGATCCATCAGATATTCCTCCACAGGGTTTGAATGCTATTTTTATTTTATTTTTTATCATGTATAGCGGTTTATCTGCCTGCCTGAAGAATATGAACCCATTCCACTTCTTTCACACGAGCTTTCTTTGCCTTGAACTTTGTCGGCGTCAAGGCGATTATGTTATATTCTGATGTTTCCCACGAGTGTCTGGCAGAATCAGCTCCTGCTGCAAGGCATTCTCGGTGGTCTCCAAACCGTCTGCATCCCAAGCACACGCCAGTTGAGGGTTTATCAATTTCAACGGATGGGAATGTTTAGGAAGTGCAAATCGGACATTTCTAAGGGCTTTCTTTGTTAAGTTTGACTTAATATTTTTATCAGTCGTGTCATTTAAGCTCATCGGTCCGACCTCAGTGTTGTCACTTTCGACCATTACAATCACTGTTAGCAATGAAAACAGATGTGTACAGTTTTATGGGTTTAACCATGAATATCAGCGACAGAATGTACATTTTGTAGAAACGTAATATTTTAAGGAAATAAGTTAGAAATGTGAAGATAAAGGGGGATGGGGGTTCTTCTTTTTAATAGTTAACGCAGTGCTTTTAGTTCAAATACTCCCAGTACTAAACTCTGCCTTGCTTTACCTACAATATTTCTCAGGTTTATGTGATCTTTGTTAGTACAAGATTTTGTAGCATACTGTTTATAATATACTTCCTGTTACCCTCTTCCCTTACTTAAAGACTTGTGCCATATAAATAGTCAACACATGATCCAAGTGCTGTTGATTTCTTTCCCTTCTTGCATCTTCTTTAAACTACTTGAAAAAAGTGTTGCAAAACATCACTTGTCCATTACAAGTCATCACACCAGATAAACAATGTGTTTATGATGTTGTGTATTTTCTCTTCTTTTCTATAAACCTGTCAAAAACAAAAAGATGTGTTGTTACTGACTTTTTCATCTGATTAACCAGGATCACATATAAAAGCTCGCTGTCAGTTTTGCTGATTTAGGAAAATGTTTTAAAAATTCAGGAAAGTGAGAATTTGTGTATTTAAAACAAAAATGTTATAGTCCGGTAATTTTATTGATAAACTTCTCACGTCAGCATTGGTGATGCTTGATTTAAAATTTTAGAAAAGATAGACGTCTGGACTGATTTGTTTATGACATGAAGGCTGTATCCCGATTCAGGGTCTGCAGCCTTAAGTACGCAGCCTTAATGGTCCACAAGGGCCGCATACTCAAAAACCGCTAAGGCCGGAAGTGAGAGGCTTGTGAAATGGGACGGTCTGGCCTCCGTCGCGCTGCCCAGGTTGCCTAGCAAACATGACACTAACAGCTGGAAACGTTTCATACAGCATTATTTGACAGAAATGAAAGAAAATCTTTGCTTCATTTGTTTGTTTCTACATGAGCTTTGATTTGATAAGTATCTGAGGCTGAGACCACAGGACTGTAAAACATGATTATTGGGCTTCATTTCTGTACTGAACAGTCATTTTAAGATTAGCTAGTAAATAACAATTACTTAATGTTGTTCATGAGACTAAAGTCATCTTACTTTGGTAATGTAAATATAATATGGCCAATATTAAAGTTATTATTTCAATCAATAATTATTACAGCAGCAAATAAACTGTTTCAAATACTGAGCTTCAGTAAAGATTCAAGCTGCATTTATTTATATTTCCTGTCACCTTAAATCTTCACTCAAAGACAGGTTTCTTTGACACTGTATATATAAATGTATTATATATAAGACATATTGTTCTTTTAATATGTTGCCATTACTAAATTTCTCTCAGTGCTTACTTTAAATATCCATGAAATCACCACATTCTCTGTAAGATTAAACAAGTAAAAAATATAACCTAAAGGCATTGCTAACAACTTCAATTCTTAACACTAAAAGTTGAAAGAGAAAACAAAATACTTTGAAGCACAACCAAATCTTAACACACATATAATTAAACTTTGTTCATAATTTTGAAATCTAAATGTTTTGCTAGCAGCTTTATTAGTTAAATGTATAAATCAACAGTTGGAAGTAATTAAAATACTATTTTAAATTATTTAATTCTTTAAACTGACACTGATCAAGGTTTGAAGTATCTAGTTCAAATTATGAATAAATACTTCAAACATATAAGCTAAAACTACTGCTAGTTGTAAAAACTATTAGCTAACAGTATGAAAGTCTGAAAAAATAAAGAAATGTAAAAAAAAAAAATACTATTAGCTAAGAGCAATAATTAACAGTTAAATAAATTACATTCTTCAAGCAAACTTCACTACTGGCTAAAAAAAAAAAAAAAAAAAATTATTGCACTAAATATAATAAATATAGCCATAAAAGTAAAAGTTGTGACAGTTTATTAGCCGCTAACTTTAACTGGTGAACATAAATTTTAAAGTTCAAATGAAAACATTTGAATATGAGAGATTACGGTGAAGGGGCTCTCAGATCCATCTGACAGGACTTTGGCAGTAGATCAGATAAAAATGGGGGATCCACAACTGTAGACCGTAACTGACATTTGATAGGATTAAAACCCAGTCTGAGACCAAATCATTTTGATTCAAACCACATGTACAAAGAGCAAGGATAAAGCAATGACAAACTCATTGAATTAAATATTTAAACATCTTTGTTTGTACACTTACCAGTTACCTTCTCCGTCTGCATGACTTTGTGTGTTGTCCTCCGATATCAAACCATTTCCACCAAGAAACCACAAACCTTTTAGACTGTAACTTCTTTTAAAAAAAAAAAGAAAACTCAGGCAAACGATTCAGAATTGAAGATTTTAGTTCACTTCCATATAAAAAAGTACACATACTGTACAGTAAGCAAACATTTATCTCCCACCACATTTCAAATGATGACCTTTTAATAAATCTGCTGTCAGAAGCAAAAAGGTGCTTCGGCTGTATTACAATATCAATTCACTCTTTACCTCCTAACTGATCACTCATTATATAAACACGCTGTATAAATAAAAGTTGCACAAGTAATAAATTAGAGATGTTACTATATAACTAGAGTGATCAGGTCACACTACTAAACCAAAGAGCTCTGTTTAAAGGACTGCAGGCATGAGTTAAGATGTGCTGAGACTGCTAAAGTACACAGATATAAATAAGAAACTGGTTTCCAAAAAAAAGAAAAAAAGAAAAAAAAAGGAGAGCATCAAGATTTTTTCCATCTCTGTTCAACTAGACAGTCTGCATATGGCTGTTATTAATTCTTGGCCTGTAATTCACAGATTTACATAACTCTTGCAATCAAAAGAGGGGCAATGCAGTTTGGGGAGAATAATAGGTAGGACAGCCTCTAACTATGACAAAGTGCACTCAACATATGATCCACATTCACAACTCTGGGACAGAAAATTACCATGCTCAAAAAAACAATTAAAAAAACAACAACAACAACAAAAAAAGACACTTAAACCACTTGGAACAGATGTTTACACGATTAAAAATGGGTGGATTTTCATCAATACTGGTTCTAATAAACTAATCACACAGTTAACACATACACAAACAGAATTCTCTCTCACTGAAGCCAAGAAATTGGTCATTATTTCTTCTTAACGGCAGCTTTTCCCTACAGTTTCAGCTCTGCTTCACAGCTGATTTAATCAATAGCAAACCTCCCCTCAGATTCACTTAAAGGGGACCTATTCTCCTCATTTCCAGCTACATGGTTTTAAAAGCAACTTTGCATAATTCACAGCTCAAAATAATCCTGATGTATCTTATACTCTGCCTTGGTGGAGCTCCTGCAGTTTATCCACTGGCTGAAACAAGCAAGCTGTATCATCAAACACTGCAGTTCCTAAACTGGCCATTTGAGGCTCTCTCCATAACTGAGTCAGTCTCCACAGACTGTTAAAATGCCCAACTATACAGCAGAAATAAACACGTTTACATAGTTGTACACAAAGCAGTTTTGGTCTCTTTAGCCAGCTTCCACATTCATAACAACTGTGCCTTTTCATAGCGATCTTGACGTCCCCCATTGGCTTCTAGGCTCCATATTTAGAAACTTTAACATTACCCACGTTTGGCCACAACCATGTTACATTTTTCAACCAGAAGAACAAGCTGTAAATTTAAGATTTAAGCCTAGGGAGATGATTGGAGATAGGGCTGGGCCATATTATACCGTTCACGGTAATACCGGTATAATGTTAGGCAACGATAGGAAAATGAAATATCGCGATAGAATGGGAGTAAAACGCGCATGCGCAGTGCCTTTGTTTTCATACGCACATGGCCGATTGTTGAGTGAAACAGATGAACCAGAATTGGTTTGTAAAAATGGTGCAACTTCCGTGATGTGGAACTGGTTTGGTGTTTGTCCGTCAGATACACGACAAAGCACATTTTTTTGCAGAACATGCAAGCGGCCGTCGTTATTGTCGTATTTGTCGAACTAAGATGCTCTTTAATCTGGGAGTAATCTGGGTCCTAAACTCCGTATTCTTCAGGTCAAACAACACTGCAGCATCACTTAGAGTTAAAACTGTCTAAATTCTTTCATCTTTAATAAAACGATCAGCATTGCTGCTTTACCAGGTGTAACTATAAAGTTTAACTTCCAGGCATCCATGAAAACAAAAGTTATTACATTTAACGGAGTTAGAAGTTAGCAGGAAGCTAGCGGAAGTTAGCTCGCTAGTTTCGCTAGTTACCTAAGCATGATATAGCATGTTCTGACTGAGAGATTTCTGAAAAAAATCAAACGTACAGCTCTGCTATCACTTCCAACATAAATGAAGACAGGAAACTAAACAGCAGTGACGTTTGTAGGGTTACTGAAGTTGGGCTAGCTGGTATATAATGATGTACTACGTGATCGCTAGCGACACAGCTATGTTAGCATAACATAAACAGTGAAGCTGGAGGACGAACACTAACACTTTTCCACTTATAAAAGTTAACGTGAAGGTTCTTCATGGTTAGAGACAAATGCAAGCGCATGGCAGGATGCTGTAAACGGACCAAACTTCAGTCAGGAGAACAACTGAGATAATCCATCCACAATACGAGGTTAGTCATTAATATACTGCAACAACATGGGAATAGAGCAGCTGCCAGAGAATTCAACATTAATGAATCAATGGTACAGAAGTGGAGGAAGCAAGAAGAATGAGTTTAATAAAGTTTGATTTATCTGACTGCTTTGTTTCGCTTAATGTGCCTTATAATCCCGTGCACCTTATGGTCCGAAAAATGCGTACTGCACACTGCAGTTTAATGTTGCAAAGCACCTCTTTTTAACTTCAGTGGATATTATACATGGTTATGCTCAGGATATGTCAGCCCATTTCTACTGGAAATGCCTTTTGGTTAAACTTTCAGCAAGGAATTTGCATTTGCACTGTTACATTTTTATAAAGCTTTAATGTACATAAAAACCAGCTTCTTGTTTAAGTGAAAATAAATGGAAGGTTGTCTTTTTGCGCTAGTAATGTTGTGGAGTTGTATTTTGTCTCGCATCAATTATATCGTCGGTTATATCGTTATCGCAAATTTTCAAATATATATCGTGATAAATATTTTTGGCCATATCGCCCTGCTCTAATTGGAGACAGCTTCAAGTGAACAATAGAGGAACTGCACTGTCTTTACACTTTCAGCTAATTCCTGCTAATTAGCAGATATAGCTAACATTACCTAATATTTTAGAGCTCCACCCTCTCACCTGAAAATATTAAAATGTGGCTCCACAAAAATGAAAATGATTGTAGCCAAAATACTCAAGTGAAGGCATCAAAATGTAGATGTCACTGTCATGGTGGCTAAGTCCATTTTTCATATACAAGCTGTGTCCCAAAACCTAGGCCACATCCTTCGGAGACCGCATTTGTAGGCCAA